GGACTGCATGAACAGATGGCGTAGTTGATCGAGATCGTTGCAGCAGGGAGAGATTATTCCGCTCTGTGACGCCGACAATACTGCGAAGCCCAGGGGGCGATTTGTGCGCTTTAAGTGCATAGTACAGATATGGCAGCGTGTCTTTGTGTGTATATATATTTTTTCACAGCTAAGAGGCTCCCACCGACGCCCACCTGCAGCCCGACTCCCACGGCCACCCGACACCCAACCACCCGAAAATCACGCCCGACCCCCCCCTCGAAGACCCCGTACGGACGGCCGGAATCCCGTACGTACGGTCGTACGGGAGTACGTACGGGCCGTATACGTACGGACGTACACACAGATCCAGTGAGACTTCAGCTCACTGGGCTGTCTACGATTTCCAAGGTGACAGGGTGCAGACAGATCCATTGCAGTTCAAGGTTTCACATTTCTCCAACATGTGAGTTGCTTGGTCTGCATCTTTGAAGACCACGATCATCATGGCTCTTCCCAGGCCTAGCAGGGAGAACTTGTCAACTTCTGTTTTGATGTTCTCGTGTTCCTGGATGGTTTTCACCATCCATTTCCTGTTCTCGATGGGGGAGAGTCTTGCACCGGCGTTGGAGAAGGAGAAGATGAGTGTGTGCTTCTCGTATGTTGCGTTGGTGTCGACAATCTTGTCTTTTGGGTACACCGAAGCGGTCACTTCCTCATCGGTATTGTCCTTAATGTTTTGACCTTGATTGTGACTTTCTCTCCTTTAATTTTTGGGGCTTCCAACAGGAAGCGAAGTGTCTCATGATCCACGTTGGATGCGATTTGGTATGGGTCCTTTGAGGTGGCTGGTTTTGTTGCTGCTACTGTGCTGTAGCGGCGTTGGTAGTTTTGGGTCATGCTTGCTGTTGTTCGTTTCGTTTTTTCTTAATGATTGCTTTGTCTCTTTTTGCGATGTATTTGTGTTTCGTCGGTTTGATTGATTGATTGATTGATTGATTGTTGTTGTTGTTTAAGTTAAATCAGACGCTGCTATTTGCCGCTTGCCTACGTGGGAATTGGGCTGTCTGCCTGGGCATATACGGGTATGCCCCGCACAGGAATCGGGATTGGTTGGTGCAGGTTGGTGGCGGGGGGGGATATTGGGGGGTTGAGGGATTTAGTTGGGATTTAGAGGTGTGTTGGGTGGTGATCACGCATTGGTACGTGGGCGTCTGGATGGGGGGGTATTCGTTTTGGGATGGTGGTTGGAGATGGGGGCTGGGTCGCTAGGTGTTACATGCTGAAAGCCTACACACGGGCCCCTCACGGGACCCGAGGTTGGAATAGGGCCCC